TGCAGAGGACTCTGGGGACCCACTAGGGTCAGCACTGACACTCAGCCTCTTCTCATCTCCCACAACTGAGCATGGTGTGTGCATATGTTCTCATGAGAGCTGCATGTCTGCAAAGTCCACCCTCCTTCCCTCACCTTGCTGACCTGTATGTAATGAGTTCCGTATTAGAATCATGGTGGAAGTGTCAGCCTTGTAAAGTGGTTACACTTTACAAAATAAAATATAGAATAGTTATCAACCTGTACATTAGGAAACATGACACCCACTCCCTATAATTATAGTCCTTGTTGCCATGATTGTTATGAAAGCATGGCAGAATGTTCCCCAGCTTCAAACTCCTTTTTACAAGAGGCAGCATCACCCACGTTTCCCAGGGTTTCTGAAGTCAGGGATCAGTTTTTTTTTTCTCTTTGTGGGGTTTCTTTTTCCACTAGTGGCAATGTCATGACATAACACCTGGCAAGATTTTCATTTGAAGTTCTGGTTTTGTTTTGTATGTTAAATGTTTATCTCAACAGAGATATGCTAGAGAGTCTCAGTAATTTTATATGCAAAATTATGCCATTTTATTTATATTACATTTAGATTAAAGCAAACAAGTTTTTCTTGATGTCAGCTGATTCCAGCTTAAGTAACTACCAGTGCCCTGACTGTTCCTAAAAGTGATGACTCTGTCTCCTAGAGATGCAGACAAGGATAGAGAGTAGGTCAGCTGGATGTCACATCTAACACCTGGCATTGACAACATTTAAAAACAACCTATAATTATGCATTACTTAGAGAACTTCCTTGAAGCAGTGTTGGTTACAATAAGCTGGGTGAAGCTATGCATTTTCTTTCCTTACATGTGAATCGGAGCAGCAGGAGACCCAGGACCTGAACAGAAGCCTACTTGAGCATGCTGTATGCTGATTGGGAGAATTGATTTGTGCATAAGGTGTGAGCTGCCTTACAAGAAGTGCTCCAGGCAGGGGGCTGTGCTCTGGGCATGGGCAAATCAGGGTCTGGGAGGGAGGAGCACAGCTGCAAGGCTAATTGACTTTAGTATCTCAGCACAGACCTGTATTCTTCAAGGTGCCCTAGACATGACCAGGGTAGCCAGCTGTGCTTGCAGAAGATGTTTTTCCATGGAGTCCAGAGAACCAACTGAATTCATATCCTATAAATAGTGTAAATTGTGATTTAATTGTTGTTCATGACATGCTTTTCATACTGACTTTTTATTTAAGCCAATCTTTTCAGTGAAAAATAGATCCAGAAATGTATAATTCATTATTTTGATTAAATTTCCTATTTAAATTATTTCTATGAACTTTTTAATTGGTAACTATGAACACTATTATACCTTTGCCCAGAGATGGAACAAAATTTAAAACTCATGATAGCTAGCAAGCTAGATAGTTATTCAGCTAATGATGTAGATGGATCATGGATGGATGGATGGATATTAAGATAGACAGATAGATTAAAATATGTTTATAGAAACCTAATTATTTTAAATTGAATAACAATGAAAACTATAACAATAGAGTATGTGAGCTATAGTGTCATTGTCTGCAATTTACAATTTACCCAGTGTATATCTGCTATCAACTCCATATAAATGACTTGCTGTCTTCTAGTCCTGAATGTGCCTTCCCACCACCAAGGTCTAGGACAGTTAACATCAGATATTTGCTCTGTTAGACCAGAAGCCTCCTCCATCATGGCTTGGCATGCTAGGTCCCTAGGCAACACTAGGCCCATGTAGTAAAGGCAATAAATGATTAGCCCCAAACCCCTTTCCCCGAGAAAGCCCTCCTTCAGAAAAATATAACCATAGAAGGCAACAAAATCTCCTAGATCTCATAGGTTGTATGTTCTCCTGAGAACATTTTTTACTAGGTTTTTATCTAAGCAAATCTTACAGGAAAAGTCAGCTCCAGATATGTATAAGTAGTTATTTTTTACCAGATACCCTGACTCATTAGCCTGTTTTCTTTTATTAAAAAAATTTATTTAGTGAACATGAATAGAATTACCCAATTACCCAGAGATCGAATGAGATTTAAGACTGAAGATAGATGGAGAGATAGAAAAATGATTAGAGAGAAACCAGAAATATTTCAATGAATGATGAAGACATATGTGAAAATATTCTTTGTGAAATATATTGTTATGTTCTGCAAAGTACAGACTACCTATTGGGTATCTGCTATCACCTCCACATAAGACATTTGTTGCTCTCCACTCCTGAATGCACTTTTTCATAACTAGGATTTAGGACAGTTAACATCAGACTTTGGCTCTCTGTATTCTGAAAGGACATAGATTCATGAACAGCTTTGTGATCATTCCACATGTCTGAGCTAGAAGTCTCCTACACATTTTGATGACATTCATGTTTCTGTCCTTTCAAATTGTTCCCATTCAGAAACTGAGATATTCTTTATCCTACAAACTGAAGTCTACCCAGATTACTCTGCTCTATAAACATATACATTACTATGTTACCCATCTCTTTTAGTGTCAAACTGAAGAAATCTTTAGTGACTGAACTACTATCTGGGCTTGTAACCCAGACAAGCAGAACCCCAAAACCCTACTTGAAATAAACGACCTTAAGCAAAAAGATCTGGATATGTTGCAGCAATAGAAGGGTCCTTGTGAAGTCTTGAGTTCAATCCTCAGTAGCACAAAAAAAAACACAAAAAGAAAGACCAGCATCTTAAAACTAATGCCATACATTTTCACGTGCAGAATTCCCTGGTGCTGACAGGGCTTCTGTGTGGCTTCCCTGCAGAACACTAAGATGATCCCCATATTATATCTAAGCTAAGGCTGAAGAACCATGAACACTCAGATCACAATATTATGATGTCATTTATAAATGTGAAAATTTCCCAACCCAGTGACTACTCAAGATGTAGAAATGAATGAATCATTATGGTACTGGCAAGTATTAAGTGTATTATTCTTTCTTTGAGGACATTTGTTTCCATTGTGTGGAATTGTTTGATCTGGAACAGAGACATAAGAGGAAGTGACCACTTAGGATTATATACATTCTGATGTGGTCAAGATATTGTCACAAATTTATGTCCAAATATTCCCAGAATAGAACCATGAATTTTAAAATATCTGTCTTTATAGCTTATCAAATTACTAATAAACATTTATTCCATTATTCTTTTCAAAGGACTGGATCACATAACTGAGAAATAATCATGAATTTGCAGTTTGGCATCCAAGAACAAAAATTAGTTTTTGTTAATTAGACAAAGATGTAGTTGTGGTGCTACCATTTTTTTCTTAAAGGTCTTTGTTGAGGTCAAAATCCCTTAAAGCTTAGATTCCATAACATCCCATGGAAACCTATTAACTTGTTGAAAGGCAGAGCATCATTCCTTGAAGAAAGGTGGATCAGCTATTTTGCATTTGTAACCAGTGCTCATGGATGTTGAGGATATTTCTGGTTTCAGGAAAAGAATGAGTAGGAATGCTTAATTATATATATTTAGGTAAACAAATATTCCTCCATTATATTCCATATGTGTGTTTGCCTGTGTATGTGCTTTTCTAGAAAGGTATACCACAAGCTGACAAATGTTGATTACAAATATTTAATGTAATTTCTCATTTTGTAATTCCCATTATTAAAATGATTTTCTGTGGATATGATAGTAGACTCAATAATAATATCTGGAAATGACTCCACATGTGCTCCATTTGCAGCTCTTAGACGGGAAGTAATGATAACAACTGACTTGTCAATCACACAGCAATAGCACTGTGCTGGAGGCCCCGTTATAATTAATTTTTCTTTTCTGATGACCCACAGACTTGTGAGAGGCAATGAGTAGCCTAGGTGAGAATTGGAAATCTAATGGGTACTTCTGTATACCCTGTTAAAATACCTGAGCAGAGAGGAGAACTGAGATTCAACTCTGACATTTCTGTCTGGTCTTCCACAAAATGCTACAATTGTGGATAAACATTGCATTAACTGTTCCTGTTAAGATGTTTCCATAAGTAACTTAAAGCTATTCCATTAGTTCATATACATTCCAGACCTATACTTCTCCTATAAATGATACCTTGATGAACTCAGAGCATTTCCAACTTCATGCCACTTTTTCCCAGCTGGATTGAAGAACATCATGGTGAAACAATTTATAGCATCTGAAGTAGATGCACACTGGACATTGGTGGAGACTTGAGAATTCCCCAAGTCCTAGCCTGTGAGCTGTCATAATTCCTGGTGTCTAAGGTGATAGGAGTGGATACAAGACACACAAGATTAATGCTGCCCTCTTGACATTTTTTATATAAAGACACAGAGGTTGAACAGATGAAGTTAGTCTCAGACTTCTGTGACATATGAAACATATCACAGGGTTTCACCACACACCACTCTCTTAAGTAGAGCCAGAGCCCCAGTACATAGAAGCAGAGAATACTGTGCTTTGTGTAATTTGTATCTTCCCCAGGTTGATCCAGCCACGAGACACTGATCAAACTCTGATAATGGCTTGATGGTCAGGCAGGGTTTAATGAACACACAGAGCAGAAGCTAGAAAAGGCAAAATTGGGTTTCCAGGTTATGAACAGAAAGTATGGAAAAAGTTTTAGGCTAGTGTGTACTGAAAGTAAGTATTATAAGTTTCATCACAGAGAGAATAATCACAGCAGACATTTGATTTGTAAATTAGTGGTTGGTTAAAATATTACTGAAGAGAGAATTGCGTTTTTAAATAAATACCTAATGGTTTATCTGGTGTTTAGGTAATTATATTTAGGTATATTTAGGTATAAATATAAATTATATTTAGGTAATTATTGTCCTGGTTGTTATAGGTTGCATTTTGTTGTATTGTCATAAACTCTTCACCTCTACTCAGAGTGGCTCAGATATTGACCTCAATATCTTCCTCCTAGGCAGACTCACACAATTTGCTGGGCTGCTCCCCAGACCAGCCAGCTATGAGGGCAGCTCACCCAGCCAGATGGGAGGTTTTTGTTCAAGGCTGTATCACTGTGGGAGGAAGATGTGTAGCTTGCATGCAGTAATAAACTCCAACATCCTCAGCTTCCACCCTGCTGATTGTCAGTGTGAAATCTGTGCCTGACCCACTGCCACTGAATCTGTCTGGGACCCCAGAGTCTCGTTTGGAAACCAAATAGATCAGGCGATGTGGAGACTGGCCTGGCTTCTGTAGGAACCAATGCAAATAGGTGTTTCCATTGCTATGCAGAAGGCTCTGACTAGACTTGCAGGAGATGGAGGCTGGATCTCCCAGGGTGACAGGCAAGGACCTTGGAGTCTGGGTCATCACAACATCTCCACTGGATCCTGAAATTAGAATAAACAGAGTGCAAGTTTATATATAAACATAGAGAGCCATGCATGCATTACTTTTATTTAGATATATTTTCTCTTTTCATTTTCATGATTTGATTTTTAATTTAAAATACTAAGTATCAAAAGAGATATTCTTGAATCACAAAAGTGTCTCTAGGAGTCAATAGCAGTATTCCTACCTAGCAGAGACTTCACTGAAGCACAGGTTCTCGCTCTTTCTGGACTGTTCCTCACTCTCTCAGACCTAAACCTCATTGCCCTACCATGAACATCTAACACATGGATAAGTTACTGCTGGTCCATGAGAGCTCACCTCCCACCCTCTCTGATTCCTCACCTCCCTTTGCCCTTACCAGGGATCCAGAGCATTAACAGCCACAGGAGCTGAGACAAGGACTTCATTTTAAGGAGTGAAATGAGGAGTCTAGACAGGTCAAGGCAAGATCATAGCTGAGCCTTTATTTCAGACTTAGAAAGGAAGGTCCTCCTTAGGGAGCAATATGCAAATAGCCAGATGGGTGCAACAGTGTAAGAAAAGAAAAAGGAACAGTGTCTATGGGCCATGCTTTCCTTTTCAGAGAACATTCTCTTTAGGTCTTTAGCCCACTTATTTCTTGGGCAGTTGTTTCTTTGAGAATTTGCTGTTGGGGGATTTAATTTTTCAAGTTCTAAGTATATTTTAGATATGAAACCTTAATCCATTGCATTGCTAGTGAAGATCTTCTCCCCATCTGTGGGCTTTCTATTGATCTTGCTAGCTATGTCCTTTGCCATGGAGAAGCTCTTCAATTTTGTGCAGTCCTATTTGTCCAAACTTTCCTTGATTTGTTGTGTTTCTGGGTCTCTTTTAAGAAAATTTGGCCTGTACCAGGAAACCTAGGGTTTCTCTGATTCCATCCTGTAATGTTTTCAGATTGTCTGCTTTGACTTCGAAGTCTTTGATCCATTTGGAGTTGCTTTGTTGCAGGGTGATATATAAGGATCTAGTTTAGTATTCTACAAGTGATTAACCAATTTTGCCAGCACCATTTACTGAAGAGGCAAGAACTCTAATAACAACAGATGATGGAGGGGATGTGAAGGGAAGGGATCCTTAATGCACTCACTGTTGGAGGGAATGTAAACTTGTTCAACCACTTTGGAAAGTAGTATGGAGGTTTCTCAAAAGACTCCACATAGAGCTCCCCTATGACTCATTAACCTGACTTTTGGGCATTTACCCAAATGATCACAAACAAGACCACACTAAAGCTACCAGCACAACTATGTTTAAGCAGCATTATTTACCATAGCTAAGATATGGAACCAACCCAGACGCCCCTCAAAAGATGAATGGATCAAGAAAATATGGTTATATACACAATGGAATTCATGCCTCCATCAGAAAGAATGACATTGCCCCATTTGTTAGGAAATAGAAAGACTTGGAAAAAATTATATTAAGTGAAATAAGCCAGGCCCAATGAAACATAGGTCCCATGGTTTCCCTTATTTGCAATAACTAGTATATGTCTGAGACAAGGAGAAACGGTCAGATAAGTTGATGTTAGGTGAAATGAACCCCAAGATAGGATTCAAATGTTTTTTTTTTCCTTCTTGTGATTGTTTCTAACATACTTATAAGATGATTTCTTTGTTGCTTTGTATGTCCCTCCTCCACGACATAACCCCTGTTTTCACTGATGTTGATACAATTTGTGGAGGGAAAGAGAAAAAAACAAATTGTTTAAATAGGGATTCAGGTGGACCCATTGCAAAAATGCAATATACAAGACGTTATGGTGAAAAACGAACTTTACAATTTTGGCCGGTGGGGGGCGGGTGGTTGGGGAACTTCAGGGGGACCGGGAGCGGTGTGGGTAGATGGGAAGGGACCAGAAGGTGAAACAAAGAAGGAGACAACAATGCTTGATAAGAAATGTACTCATTACCTTGCCCATGTGATTGTAACCTCTCTGTATGATATTTTCACAAAAAAAGCCTCAGTGGATGTATACATATGATCATTTAAAATTATGGTTTATTTCTTTTGTTTTTTGCTTTTTATTTTTTATTTCCTTTCTGGCTGTTTTTGTTTTCTGTACCCTTTGTCTGGTATATAATTTTGTTTTGTTTTATTTTGAAGAGAGTAAGGGGTAACATAGAAATGGTGGGACAAATGGTCAACAAATGCAGCAGTAATACTCACTAGACACTGTTGAAAATGAACTATACAACTTTTGGGGCAAGGATCAGAAGGAAGAAAAGGGAGAAAATAGGGGAAGGGATGACACTTTTCAAAAATTGATGTACTTATTACCTGTCTTATTTAACTGTAATCACTTTGTACATCACCTATACAATAACAATAAGAAATGAAAAATAATAAGAGAGTAGTTTATTTTGAGAAGATCAAGCAAAAAAATGTTAGATCCAAACCTTCCAAAATGGAGGTACAAAATTTTTATTATTTTGTCTTTATGTTTTTTAAGTTAATAACAAATTCATGATTCCATTCAACTTCCAAAAGTGGTCTGACAGTGGCATTGAGAAATAATAACAATTAATGTGATATTAAGCATGAAAAAGAGATTAATTTTCTAATAGTTAGATTACAATGTTGGATGTATTGTGAAGACATTACTAGAAATGAGTTGTTATAAAGATCTAATTTCCTGAAGAAAAAAAGTTCACTATACAAAAATAATAAATATTTCAGGTGGTGAACTAACTTGTTAATTAACTCCTTTAGATCATTGCACAATATGTGCAAATATAAAAATTATATTGTACTTCAAATTAGATTATACTGTGGTAATCAGTAATTGTTTTAAAATTTTTAATGACTTTATCAGATAATATTATTTTTCAAAAATCTTTTTCACAAGCTATTTTGTATTAGCTTTGCATCTTCTATATACTCTTCTGTAATTCGGGTAGGGGAAAATACAAAATGCTTAAATAGGGATACAGGTTGACCCATTGTAACAGTGAGATATACAAGACACTATGATAAAAACAAAATTTACAACTTTGTTGGGGGCGAGGGGGGGGTAATTGTGGAGGTGGGAGGGAAGGGATGGTAGGGGAAAAACAAAGGAGGAGGCAACAATGCTCCATAGGAAATGTACTCATTACCTTGCTCCTGTAACTGTAACCCCTCTGTACAGTACTTTTACAAAAGAAAGTACAAAAAATATTAGCATATCACTTGAAATAACATTTTTACTAAAACGTTTGATTAACTGAAGAAGAAAATCTTTGACTACAAGAAATCAATGTTTAATGTAATGAGTAAACGTGTTAATTATGCTAAGTCATTGTAAAATATGTGAACATACCTAAACATCATATTGTACTTCAGACACAATTATATTTTGGCAATAAAACTTATCTTAAAATTTTAATGACTATTTTTTCTTTACAAAATCTTTCCAAAAAATATTCAAAAGCTATATTAACTGACTTTTAAATACCTGCTATGGGCCAGGTGTTGAAGGTGCCATTGGAGCAGGCTTGGCTTCTAAGCCCTGGTGAGCAGCTGGAGAGGGATACATTTCAAAATGTTTAATGGAAGATAAAATAAAATATATGCAATAAAGTCAAATGCTCTGAGTTTTATGGACTGTCCACTGGTCTTTGCATTGGTGCCCTGGGCACTGTTTATGAATGGCTGCCCTCCTTCTATTCTGAATGCTCTTAAACTTAAGCATTGTCTCCTTCAAGGATAGTTCACATGAGACATTTTCCCTTAATACTTAGGAAAAGACATGTCTCCTCATCTAGTTTTGTGTGCATCATGCATTTCTGTGTCAGATATTTGCTAAGCTTTTGAGGATATGTGTGTGTTCTTTCTTAATTACAGGAAACACTTCCTTCTCAGAAGCTGGAGTGTCCTCTAAACCAACATTCATATCTTTTAGGTCCTAAATAAAGCAATATTTTGTGTGTTCTGCCTGGGGCTTGAAGTCAATCCCTAAGCTTTTTTTCTCAAGGAACATAAACCACAGCTTGAATTCCAGGTGTTTGGTGTTTAATTGGAGATAAGATTATCACAAGAAATGCACTTCCTACTTTGTGTATATAATTGTAACCCCTCTGTACCTCAACTTGACAGTAAAAGTTTTAAAAAGAGTCTCATAGAGGGGGGACCAAGATGGCGACCGGGCAGTAGGGAAACGCCACAGCTCTCTCCAACCAAAAAGAGAGTTCGAGTTCCAACGTTTAATCTCCCCAAGAGACTGACAACAACAAAAAGACGAACACTCAGAGAAAAACCAGAGGTGGAAAATAACAAAAAAAGAAAGAGAGGAAAAGAAGAATTTCAGAACAGAGAAGAGCGAAGACCCCTCTCCCAACCTTTACTGGCCACGCGGCAGTGCGCCAAGCCGCCGGCCAGCCAGCCCGGCGGGGGCTGCCGGAGCCACAGAGACACAGGGGGCTGCTTGCAGATCACCAGGTACCGGATTGCAGAACAGCGGATCGCCAGGAACAGAGAAACCTAACAGCCGGGAGTCTCCACTAGGATCCCACCCCCACCCATCACTCTCCACCGGAGAGGAGAGGCTCCATCCCGCCAAAGCCGCCCGGCACCAGCAGCGTGACAAAGGGACCTGTCGGCAGACCACCCGCCCAATCGCTATCGCAGCAACCTGGCGGGGGGCCGCCCAACCCAGCCCGCAACCACCCCAACTGAACTCGGATTGAAACAACAACTGACGACCTACAGGGTGAGTACCCAACAGGGGACAGTGAATCCCTCAAGGGAGACCAGAGCTGGAGGGAATCCCCAGACCCTGACCTAGACTCCCTACCCCAACACCCGGACCACAGGACCCACTAAAACTGGGAACTGTTCGAGAGCTCCACCAGCCGGTGGAGCACACTCTGCTGGCCAGGCCAGAGCAAGAGCGCCCCTGGAAGGGAGCTTAAATGCCCAAGCCAGGAACAGCGCCCCTGGGTCAAGACTACCAACAGTAGAAGAAATTTGAACTGTGTCCTCCAGGCTGCATAACCTAGGTGGTATACACATTAGCACAGGCCTAACGAGCGCGCTCCTGGCTGGGGCCGGAACCAGGCCTGGGGACCGGCACCTGAACAAAGCAAAAAGGGTCAGAAGTGGGGCTGTGACTCAAATGGTAGGGTGCCAGCCTTGAGCTGAAGAGCTGAGGGACAGCACCCAAACCTAGAGTTCAAGCCCACAACCAGCCCAAAACAAACAAACAAAAACACATCAGGAGCCCATAGCAGACTCCAGTATTTGGGAGAGTGCATCC